GGTATATCTTATAAATGTATGCATACGCATGCATATATAATAAACAAGCTATTAACACATTGTTCAACGTTGAGTAGCCTTAAATCACGCCTCATCAGACTCACCACAAAGCTTTTATTTATCCCAGCTTTACACTGGACAAAATAGGTGACTTAGAAATAATTTTTAAATTAATTTTAAAATTTATGTAAAAAAAATGTTTTAAAAATTTAAAATTTAAAAAAAATATCAAAAAAAAAAATTTTTTTTTTTCAGTACTATTACTTTTTATTTTTATATTTTTTATATTTTTGTTTTTTATTATTATTTTTTTTAAACTAATATTCGTCAATATTGTCTTTTTTTGTCTTTTTAAAATTAAATTGCAGTTATTTATTATACATATATTTTTATTATGTATCGCTTTTTCTTTGGCATGATTATTTGTTCCATATTTCCTACCAGTATTTTGTTGTGCAGTGTAATATTTTCGCATTTGTTAGTCAGGCGTAAAGCCACATTGACCACGTTTAAATAGCCTTTTGGTCAAGCTAAACTAATACATTTAACACACACACACACACACATACACGCACACGCACACAACAGGTTGTTTTCGGGCACGACACTGACAAGGCCTCAGCTCTTCCTCTTCTTCATCATCATTTTTTCTCTCGCTCCTTTGTGTCACACATTTTATTTGCCTTTTATTTAACAATTTTTATTCTCGTTGTGCCCGAAAGGTCATTTGTGGTTGGTTGGCCGAAAAACACATTGTTGTTGTTGTTGTTGTTGTTGTTGTTGTTGGTGTCTGCTTTATAGCACCCAGGCCATTGGCACTAAAGGGGCATTTTGACAAACACATTAGATGGCCAGTTTTGGCAGCCTTTTGGCTAAGCCGAGCACCCGAACCAGAAACCGCCGACCCCTAGCCCGAACCTTTCCTTTCTACGGGCCGAAAGAGCCTTATTAGATTCCATCGGGAAAGGGACGCGACGTAATCTTTTGTGTTTTATCAACGTATTTGATTAAACTTTGTTGCTGTTGCGGCTTTGCCTACTTTGTGGCTTGAGGCGTTAATCATACGCCCCATTGTGCCAGTCGATGCGCCTCGGCCTTCGTTGAGCGCTTACACATGTGCCTAGCTTTTTTATTCATAAGAGACAAAAAGAAACAAACAAACTGTTTATTCAAGCAGAAAACTTGACAAATATTAGCAAGCAAAAAAAATTTCATTTGTGCAACTATCTGCCCAACAAAAAAAAATCTCTAAGGAGCTATAAATTTTCTATGTATATAATATTAATATATGATATTTACCTGAAAGTAAATTTGCTTGAAATTTACTTACAACATTTTTAAGGCTAGTGCATTAAATTATACAGTTTTTTTTTTACATTTTTTAATATTTATTATTTAAGGCACATGCTTTATTTTATGTAACAAGTTTTCTGTTAGCTTTAGTGACAACTTAATTTACCAAAGTAAATTCTTTACCTGACTCCCATGAAATGAATATTGTTGACATTATTCTTTGACATAGTTATTTTTATTCATAAACTGCTAGGGAAATTTCTTAGATACAAATTCTCTGAATATTTTCTTTGCATTTCTGTGCAGTAATTAAATTCTGCTCTGGTTGCAGCTGTTGCGTTCGGTTGCGCCAATTCAAATTCTCTCGGATTTCTCGCTCATGTTGCACTGATAACAACAGCAAAAAGTGGGAATTGAGAATTTTCATTCACACGTTGTGAAAAATATCTACATATTGTAGGCGTGCCAATGCAAGCTGCCGTCAAGTTATGTTGATTTCATTTTTTTTTTTTTTTTTTGCTGTTGCACTATATTGCGCCAATCTCTGTCGCTGCTGTTGCCTGGCCAACAGATTGTAGCAAGTCAGATGCTCTGGAAGTTTATTGAGAATTTATTCGCTGTGATTTCTAGGGCACCATTCACAGATAATTTCTGCAAAAGGGCAAAGAGTGACGAGAACAGCTCGTTGGGCAAAACTTTGAGTCAACAAATCGCGTTGGGATTCAGGCGAATAATGCGCCTGAGGTCTCTTGGGTACACAGGTTGTATGGCTATTGCCTCAATTTTGGTCACACAATTAGGCGGCAGCAGCAGCAACGCCGGCTAGACAATGTCTGTCCATCACTGAAACTTTCAGTGCTAAGAAACGAGTTTATTTGGCAACTTTTCCGACTGAACTAAAGCATTCAGACTTCTATAAGAAAAATACATATATTACAATACTGTTTAATAAACAAATTAAAGAATCCGAGATAGTCAAAACTGAACCCTAAAAGTGTGCAAAAGGCAAAATAACGATATATGTATATCTATAGTGATATTACTAAAAAAGAAATGTATACATATATACGCCAAATTTTTTCGGTTTGTGTATAATTTTTGTTAGTTATACTAAATTTACTATAATGATATACATAATAATTATACAATAAACCATTTTCATTTTTTTGATTTCAATTAATATTTCCTTTTTTATGGGCGTCGGAAGTTGAGAAAAAAACGAATATTAATGTTACTCACTGTATGTTACTTGTTCGATATGGAGACTCAAAATCAGTTAAATAATTATAGGAATAATAAAAAGAAAACACAAATTACTTAATCAGGAAAAAATCAAAGCGATTTGATATATATTTTAGTATAAATAAAAATAAATAATTCGAATACATATAAATATATATCCATCAATTCATCTAACTACATTTTAGTCTCAGTCAAACAAACTTTTTCTCTTTTGCAAGCTGAATATAAATTTTAAATATTTGCATTGAGGCAAAATTGGAATATCGCATATATATTAAATATTTACATAGATAAATCGAAACACTCGCATGCCACTAGTGTCTAATGGGGTTTTTTTTTTTTTCAAGAGGTCAACCAGTCAAAAGGTTAGGTGAACGGCGCACCTGTTCAATGTATTCACATTTGTTACTTTTTTATTCAATTTATTGCACATTGAGGCAGAAACTGACGAAGGCCGTGGTAAATGATGTCATGGACTAAGGACTGCACGACACACACACACACACACACGCACACTCACATATCCACATACACATACGCATCTATTTATTAAACACTGTGGCCACAATTAAAGCCTAAACGAATCAATAAAAATGCAATTTCAATGCAACGCCAAGATGTGGCACCGTACAGGGGCGTGGCAAAGGGGGAACATATATGAATATATATTAAAATTCATATGAAAAAGCAGAAAAAACAAGGAAAGAAGAAAAATTTGTGGTGTAAGTAAGCTTGAGCAAAGTTTTGCATTGCAATTCATTGCAATCGTCATAAATTCATTTTAGAGGCGGGCAAAAAAAAAAAAGACCCCAAGATGAAAAAGAAGAAGAGCAATGCAAGGCAATTGAACTATTTATAAGATAACCTGAGCAGCGCAGCGGGAGAGCAATATGAAGCGGCCATGGGGCTATACACTATAAAGTAGCTGCAAAGCGTAGACAAGTCAAGTGCCAGACTACTTTCACCCAGGAGCTACAATAGGAGAGAGAGAGAGAGAGAGAGAGACAGAGAGAGAGAGAGAGAGAGAGAGAGAGACAGAGACAGAGAGAGAGAGAAATAAGGGAGCAACAATGTGACAAAGGCAGGTGTGAAGTGTGTGAGCAGATGCATGCGTTTACGTGTGTCTATGTGTGTGTGTAGACGAGTGTGAAGTGCGCCTTCTTCATATGTGTGTGGGTGTACGAGAGACTCCTTGAATAATGATAACAAATAAGCTATGTTACCTATGCAGCTGCACA